ACGATAACATATTCACATGTTACATTCATATTATATAGGCGTTACATTTATATTATATGTATAATTACAGTAGATATATTAGACCAATAGATCTGTATAATATTTCAATAAACAGTCCACATTTTTCCGCGGATAAACGCGCATAATTACATAGATATTAAATTTCAGCAAACCCACACACGTAGACGTATATTACGTTTCAGATCTACATTTCCTATAACAGTAGATCGATATTATATTTCAAGAGATATCGCTATTATATTTCAGTAAATAACTCTGTAGAATAAAAACATAGTTATCTGCCGAAGACTCGTTTCAATATAATTTGATCAGTGATAGGGCAACCTACACGATCGTTATTGGTAAAGAACTCGGTGTTGCTCATTAACACGATAAATCATTAAGCATAAAGTGGGAGCATCGAGTCGATGACATGGTAATAACAGTATATTGGTAAGTAATAGCCTGGTAAACCGGCTGCAGCAACGTATACGGCTGGCAATGCGGTAGTGTCGGCGTTCCATTGTAAGGTAGCCTTAAGGCGTGCTCACAGGGTCCGGTTACATGAACGTTCTTTCGCTCGATACGCCAACCAACGGTGTGTTTCTTCTTCGGTATTGATTCGTTTCCTACCTATGGTCTTTATGCTCGCGAAAACCTATTCCAGATGTCAAATCGTATTAAATTCTGTCGAATCTTGTTAAATTCTTTTGTAGAGGAAAATAGATCAGTTCGATCGGGAGTGCAATTGCACCCTTAAAGGCTTCTTACACGCTTACAGACGGTGTTTATTATATTACAATCATAGTATTATTATCCTGCAGCAAGTTGGACTGCATAGAAATTCTGTTAGAATAAAGGCATTTTATTAAGGTGGAAGTAATTTCTTTTTCTTTCAAGGTGAAAGGGAATGATTGCATTTTAGTGATAGATACGTAAAGATCTTAAAACAGTACTGTTTTTACTTTTTTTTTATTCGTGGAGAAAGTGGTTCTGAGAATAACTGACTTTCGAGAAAGGATTTCGTTGTAAGAACTTGTGATGTGTGCATTGTTATTTTGAGAATCGAGGTTCAGAATTTTTAACCACTGAAGTGGTAGAATTTTATATTGCAAAATAAAAAGTTCAAAAATTACGAATTCTAAATTTAGAAATTATAGAATTGTGCATTCCAATATTCCGAATTCCAAGATTGTGAATATCACATACTGGAATTCTGAAATTCGAAATACCAAAATTCCGAACTTCAAAATTTCTAATTCCACGTACTGGAATTCCCAAATTCCGAATTCCAAAATGTCGAATTCCACATACTGGAATTCTAAAACTCCGAATTCCACATATTGGAATTCTAAAATTCCGAATTCCACATATTGGAATTCCACATAATGGAATTCCAAAATTCCGAGTTCCAAAGTAGTGAATTCCAAAATTCCGAATTCCACATACTGGAATTCTAAAATTCCGAATTCCATATATTGGAATTCCAAAATTCCGAGTTCCAAAGTAGCGAATTCCACATACTGGAATTCTATAATTCCGAATTCCACGTATTGGAATTCCAAAATTCCGAGTTCCAAAATTTTGAATTCTAAAATTCCGAATTTCACATATTGGAATTCCAAAATTCCGAGTTCCAAAATTCCGAATTCCAAAATGCCGAATTCCACCTACTGGAATTCCAAAATTCCGAATTCTACTTATTGGAATCTCAAAATTCCGAGTTCCGAAGTTCTGAATTCCAAAATGCCGAATTCCACCTACTGGAATTCCAAAATTTCGAATACCATCTATTGGAATTCCAAAATTCCGAGTTCCAAAGTTGTGAATCCCTAAATTCCGAATTCCACATCTTGGAATTCCAAAATTCCGAATTCCACATATTGGAATTCCAAAATTCCGAGTTCCAAAGTTGTGAATTCCAAAATTCCGAATTCCACATACTGGAATCCCTAAATTCCGAATTCCACATCTTGGAATTCCAAAATTCCGAGTTCCAAAGTTCTGAATTCCAAAATGCCGAATTCCACCTACTGGAATTCCAAAATTCCGAATTCCGAAATTCTGAATTCCAAAATTCCGATTTCCACATACTGGAATTCCTAAATTCTGAATTCCACATATTGGAATTCCAAAATTGCGAATTCCAAAATTCCAAATTCAAAAATGTCGACTTCCACCTACTGGAATTCCAAAATTCCTAATTTCTAGATTTGCAGTTCCAAAATACGGAATTCTACAATCGTGAAATCCACATTTCGAAATTCCAAAATTCCAAATAACCTTTAGAACTCTTTCAGAATTTCAAAACTCTGAATTCCAACATTCCGAATTCCACCGTCCCGAATTTCAAATCACCCCAATTCCCAATTCCAATATCCCAAATTCCCAAATAATAAAATTCCCAAGTACCAACTGCATCGAGGTTAACACTCGAAGTCGTATGTCAGTCACCGTATCTAAATTCAGTTGCCACGTTTTCGATCTCCGTCTCGCGTGTAGCAGCTCGCGTATTAATTATTTATGAGCTACTTTCGCGTCCGAACCGGGCGTTTAGACGTTCGCCGTTCTGGTAGGCCGATGGTGGCAGTGATCCGGCACGAGGCGTATATAAAACGATCGGAGTCCTTGCCGCAGCCTTGCGTTTTCTCCTTGAGGCTCGATATTCTATTTAAATACGCGGCATACTACGCGAGCCATCGAGAGTGGGGGCCATAGAACTCACGGCATTTCTATGGTTCTTTCACGCGTTGCTCTTTCGCCTCGCAGTCCTTTTGTTTCCTACGCCTCTCTTCCCTTCTTCTTTTTTTTTATTCTTTCTCCGTACGACGTCATTGCTCAGATTTTTCCCTGGCTATTTTCGCGATGACACGCCTTGATCCTGCGCGACGAGGACGAACATCGTTTTACCGATTTATGACGATCATATTATGGCTCCAGAAATAATGTTTTTGAGAAGAAATACTGTTTCTCACTTTTCTTCCTTCATACTGGGTATAGTGGATGCATTTAGTATGCATTTGGGTTGCATATAGTTTGCTTTAAGTAAGAAATGTAATTCATAATCTAGGTATAAATTTTGTTCATTTTTTGAAGATGAAAATATCTGATAATTTTACATTTCTGTTTATTAAAATTTGTTTTTAGTCTTGAACAAAATATATTTTTTTAAACATATTCAAAGTATACATATATGTGTCCTGCGTCGACATAACATCATTCATAAATAAAATAAATTAATATGATCTACTGAAAGTACAATAATTTCACTTCACAATACTTCAAAAATGTGTCCATTTTAAAATACGTCCCAAATACTCTTCAGGGTGAAAAAAGGCACTTTTAAGATTACATCGATCTGCTCTGCAAAGGCCAACAGTCAAAGGGTGAATGCAACAGAAAGTTGGGACAAAGAGACGTAAATTCTGGTTCGCCTTGGCGAGAGAAGTTCCTGTTCCCTCTTCAAGGTCCTTCGTTGCCCGCTTGGCCGTTTGAGTCAAACGAGTCAACGTGCTATCCCTCGTGTTTTTCCGTCCTCGATGTTATTCTCGCTCGATGTATTGTTCCTGATAATCCGTCTGTTGCACTCCGTTGACCCTGAACAACTCTACTGCCGAAGATTGAGTGCCCTGTCAACCCGCTCAAATAAGGAATACTTCCGCTTCCTGCTTGCCCTGAACGCCTCACATCTACACTCTAATTGTATTATGTTCATTTCAATACGGTTTAAGATGCTGCTTATAAGAGTAGTATAAATCAAATTTCATTCGTTTTTTAATTTAATGTATTTATGGAAGGTGGATTTTTGTCAGGATATTTTTATTGTGGAGTGACATTTTTATTTGTAGTTATATGTAGCTGCATTTGTGGGTGTAGGATGAGTTCTCAAAGTTTTAGCGAGGGTACAAGTTTCAAAAATTTTGAAAGACGAGGAGTCAATGTACTAAATCAACCTCAATGTTCCAAAATTGTAAATTTGGGAAAATTATGTAGTTGCAAATTTTCAAAGTTCTGGAGGTTCAAACTTTCAAGGTTCTAATACCGTAACATCTCAAAATCTCAAGGTCCGAAACTTAATAGGTCCTGGAGTCCAACCTTCAAGCTAGAAGTCCCATCCTTCAGAGGATAGAACATTAGTCCCCAAATCCCCAAATGTCAAAGGTTCCTATCTTCCAAGATTCAAAATCTGAAAGTCCCAACTCTCCAGAATCTCCAAATCTCAAACTTCAGAGGACCCAATCTTGCCAAGTCCTCAAATCTGAAAGTCCCAACTCTCCAGAATCCTCAAATCTCAAAGGTTCCAATCTTCCAGTGATTCAATCTTGCTAAGTCCTAAAATCTGAGAATCCCAACTCTCCAGGAACCCCAAATCTCAAAGTTCCAATCTTCCAAGGTTCCAATCCTCCAAGATCCCAAAATCTGAAAGACCCAACTCTCCAGAATCCCCAAATCTCAAAGGTTCCAATCTTTCAATGATCCAATCTTGCTAAGTCCTAAAATCTGAGAATCCCAACTCCCCAGGAACCCCAAATCCCAAAGGTTCCAATCTCCCAAGGTTCCAATCTTGCCAAGATCCCAAAATCTGAAAATCCCAACTCTCCAGAATCCCCAAATCTCAAAGGTTCCAATCTTCCAATGACCCAATCTTGCTAAGTTCTAAAATCTGAGAATCCCAACTCTCCAGGAACCCCAAATCCCAAAGGTTCCAATCTTACAAGGTTCCAATACTCCAAGATCCCAAAATCTGAAAGTTCCAACTCTCCAGAATCCCCAAATCTCAAAGGTTCCAATCTTCCAAGATTCCAATCTTGCCAAATCCCAAAATCTGAAAATCCCAACACTCCACTGTCTCCAAATCTCAAGGGTCCCAATCTTCCAAGGTCCCAACCTTGCCAAGTCCTAAAATGCCAAACTCACAAAAACTTGTGAACCTTCCATCTCCACCACATGAAATTCGACAATAAGGTTTCTAAGATTGCACATGTGTCGACGTTTTACAGACGAACGCGAGTGGCCGTTCCAGGAAGAATGATCCAGGGTTAATCCAACGAATATGGTGATTCGTGAACGAGGACCAGCTGCCAGGCGATCGTTAATAGAAGGCCCGTCGTGATTTAGCGTTGCCTCGACCTCCACACACCACACTTCCCTGTACGTGATCCAAGTGTCACGGCTTCGTGACTTTCACGAATCGGTAAATATCAACAGAAGAGTGAGTCTGAAGGAACGATCGTGAACGCTGTAACTACCGTTCGTGATCTACAGATAAATATAGTAACTTGGGCTGTTTGAAATTTCAGGTGAAAACTTCTGCGCCTCGTCGAGTGTCTCCGAGACGGAGACAAGATAACGTATTTCGAGCGAAGGACGATAATGACTGCAGAATGTTCCATCTCCTCCTGGTAGGTGTCTGGATAGAACTCTTTCGACAGAGCTAATTACTGTGATGTTAGGGTTAAGAAGGAAAGGTGAAATGTGAGGTACACTTATAAATTGAAATTAGTATTATAGCTAGAGTTTATTGGACTGAGAATTTTCTAAATTTGCAGATTCTCAGGTTGTCAAAGGAGCAGGAGAGATTAGGAAGCTAGTACATGTCCAAATTTGCAGATCCACATTTCACACTTTCAGTTACCAACTTCACAAGTTCCTCTCTCAGTTTCCAGCTTTACAAGTTCCTATATTCCCAGTTCATAACTTCACAAGTTCCTATATTCTCAGTTCACAACTTCACAAGTTTCAACACCTTCAGTTCCCAACTTCACAAGTTCCTACTCTCTCAGTTTCCAGCTTCACAAGTTCCTATATTCCCAGTTCACAACTTCACAAGTTTCCACACCTTCAGTTCCCAATTTCACAAGGTCTTACTCTCTCAGTTTCCAGCTTCAAAAGTTCCTATATTCTCAGTTCACAACTTCACAAGTTTCCACACCTTCAGTTCCTAACTTCACAAGTTCCTACACTTCCAACTTCCTACACCTTCCACACCTCTTTCTACACTTTCAGTTCCTAGCTTCACAAGTTCCTACACTTCCACATTCCCATATCTCCAAATCCCTATTCCTCCCCAAATTCTTCTTCTATAGCCACCAGAGACAGAAGCAGAGATAGACAGAGACAGAGGCAGACAAGGACAGAGACATGTAGAGACACAGAGAAACATAAACAGAAAGGGACAGAGACAGAGACAGACTCCTAATTCTTCATCCACATCCATATTCCTCTTCTATAGCCACCAGAGACAGAGACAGAGGCAGGGACAGACAGAGACAGAGGCAGACAAAGACAAAGACATACAGAGACACAGAGAGACAGAGACAGATAAGGACAGAGACATACAGAGACACAGAGAGACATAGACAAAAAGGGACAGAGACAGAGATAGACTCCTAATTCTTCATCCACATCCACATTCCTCTTCTATAGCCACCAGAGACAGAGGCAGGGACAGACAGAGACAGACAAAGACAGAGGCAGACAAAGACAGAGGCAGACAAGGACAGAGACATACAGAGACACAGAGAGACAGAGACAGACATAAACAGATAAGGACAGAGACACAGAGAGACAGAGACAGACATAAACAATTAAGGACAGAGACATACAGAGACAAAGACAGAGACAGACTCCTAATTCTTCATCCACATCCACATTTCTCCACAAACTGCACATTCACTTTCAACTCTTACCAAAATTTCTCAGAAGTCTAATTTTCCAAAAACTATAAACACAATATTCTGACACGTGTCTCCCACAGATTCAGGATCCAGGAAGGAGAAGAAAGGAGCGAAGGGTAAACTAGTCCCGGCGGAGGATCGAACAATAACAGCAAGGTCTGAGTTTAACGAGGAGGTATGTCGCGTCGAGGTGACCTCCGTGCACCACTTCCCGGTACGTGAGTCAGGATCGCAGGAATCGGTAGCCAGCTCGAGGATGAGCGCTAAGATATCCCTGGCTGGCCGTGGAACGGCACAGTCAGCGGTGAACCATCGTGGCAAAACATCGTCGGGCTTGTTGCTCGCCGGTACGTCCGTAAAGAGGCCCTCCTCGTCGATGAGTAAGTTCACCGAGCCTTCTCGAACGGATACACGTGCTGTGTCTACCGTGTGTCATCAGCCCACGTGCTTTATCAGATTTCGATCTCACGGTTAATCTTGCGCTTTCTTAATGGACGAAAGATGTTTGACGAATAGTGGATGCTCCTTTGCTTCGAGATCTTTAATGGAGCAACTTTGAGAAAATTGAGATTTCTGGGAGGATCGCTTTACCATCAGTTCCTTTGAGTATTTTTTCATTTTTCGTTTATTTTAATACTTGTAATGAAATTTGTAGCTGTTTGAATTTCTACATTTGTAAATCCTCAAAGTTCCAAAACCTCAAAGCTGAAGATCTGAAGAAATTTCTAAAATCCTAAAGTTCTTCACATCAGATTTTCTTCAGAACTTAACAAAACACAAATTAACAACTACAACAGTGTACCAAACTTATATTAATTAAATTTAATATGTATTAATATGAGTAAACCTTCGTGGAAATTTCTGTAACCCAAGTTAAGTGATGATGTAAAAGTGTTAAACTGCGTTATAGTATTCGGAAAGAGTTGGGTACGAAAAAAAATGAAAGGTTGCTTCGTTTACAAATGAACCCGTCCTATAAATCTTGCGTTAAAAAAAAGCAGAATTAACCTTGAAATAATGTTGGTATCTTGAAATTCTTCTTAAGACAATATACTCTCCTACGCGGATTAGCTCATGGATTAAAATGGAACATTCTGTGCGCAAAATATTTTTTTTCCGAAAGCATCTCAAGCATGTAATGGAGAAATGGAGCAAGAACATCGAACTATTTGTTAAACTCTTTCGTTGCGAATCGTTATTAAATATTGTTGAAGTGTGTTAGATGTTATGTTATGTTACTCTATGTTATCATGTAATGTTATGTTACATGTATGATATCATGTTACATATGTTATCATATATGTTACATGTATGTTATCATGTATGTTATCATGTAATGTTATATTACATGTATGATATCATGTTACATACATGTTATCATATATGTTACATGTATGTTATCATGTATGTTATCATGTAATGTTATATTACATGTATGATATCATGTTACATATGTTATCATATATGTTACATGTATGTTATCATGTATGTTATCATGTAATGTTATATTACATGTATGATATCATGTTACATATGTTATCATATATGTTACATGTATGTTATCATGTATGTTATCATGTAATGTTATATTACATGTATGATATCATGTTACATATGTTATCATATATGTTACATGTATGTTATCATGTATGTTATCATGTAATGTTATATTACATGTATGATATCATGTTACATATGTTATCATATATGT